TCCTACTTCGCGGAATTTCATTTATCACGGTAGGGTCTAGAACCGATTAACCGCGATAAACGAGGGTTCACTGTATATATATTTGTAAGAAATTCTTGGAAAGTATACCATTTCAAGAGGTAGCATATGAGCAAGAACCAGTGGTACTGAAAGAAGTACAAGCCTCACAGAAAGCTTTAGCCAAAACCAAGGCTCCAGGAACTGATGTAATACCAGTTGCAATGTTTCAACCAGGACATGAAAGCACTGAAAGCACTCCCTCGTCTTTGCCAGCATTTGGGGAAGGCAACTACTTGGCTAAGTGACTGGAAAAAAATCCATGTTTGTGCCCATTCCAAAGAAACATGATCCAACAGAATGTTCAAATTATAGGACAATATCATTAATATCATATGCAGGTGAAATTTTGCTAAAGATCATCCAATAACAGTTGCAGCAGTACATTGATAGGAAGCTGCCAGAGGTTCCAGCCAGATTGGTAAGATGATGTGGAACTAGGGGACATCGTTACTGATGTCAGATGGATCTTGGCTGAAAGCAGAGGATACCAGAAGGATGTTTACATGTGTTTTGGTGCCTATGGAAGGCATTTGACTGTGTGGATCTTAACAAACTATGAATAGTCTTGAGAAGAATGGGAATTTCAGAACATTTTATTGTGCTCACGGGGAATAGGTACATGGATCAAGAAGTAATTGTGCAAACAGAGCAAGAGCACACTGTGTGGTTTAAAATCAGGAAAGGTGTGTAGCCTCTAATTTTCTGGTATTGGGAGACAAATAAGATATTAACAAAAGACTTAGCTGCAGTCATGGGCTGTAGTTCCATGAGCAGTGTACATTATGGTAATCCTCATGAGCCCTCTTCGTTGTGTGCCGCATGCATATTGTAGGATTACTCTGTGCTTTAAGAATTCTGTGTTAACAGCATACTAGATGAAGGTAGGATCTTGTTTTATAGTGTTAGTAGGATTTTATAGTGTTTTATAGTGTTAGTAGTCAGTATAGTAGGTGTCTTAGTCCACCCGCCCGCCCCCCACCCCCACCCCGTGCCCCCTGGCTCCAGCTCACCCCACTCCTGGTCCCATAATGTATTAGTCTAGGTCCTTTAGAGAAACAAATCCACAGCAACTCATTAAAAGAGAGTTTTATGTAAAGAAAGTGTGCATCATGAAAACAGTAGGATTCTGAAGTATAGGCAGTAACAAAACAAGTGGTTACTGAATGGGTAAACACTTGTTCTCTTGACTTAATTTCCCTAAATCTAATGTTTTTTCAAATGTTTATTTTTGCAGCTAAGATCTAATGGAGTATATCTGAGGAAGTCCTATGGGTCACTTAGGGTGGGGGTGTATGAATGCTCTGTACCTACTTTTTTGTTGGTGTAGAGATTCTTCCAAATAAACTGGAATGCTTTTTAAAAGAAGCACTGAAGGGAGTTTGCGCATGTGCCATGATTCTTTCTTTCTAGGAGACACCTGTCTTCTCTCTTCGTTTGCATGAAAGAGATGCATGAACTTTGAAGATTATTTTGTCCCTGCTTACCACAGTAGGACAGATGGTATTGCTTAGTTCATAGTTAAACCAACCCCTGCTCCCTTGGACACAGACTCTGCTGAAGACTCCCCGTCACAGAGTCCATTCCAACTCGTGGTGACCCGCTAGGGCAGGTAGAACTGCCCGCCCCTGTGGGTTTCCGAGACTGTAGCTCTCGATGGGAGTAGACAGCCCTGTCTTTCTCTTGCTGTCCACATACAGTGGAAAATAAGATGAACGGTCCCTTTTCATGCTTTTCACGGTGACGCGGTGCTGTAGTTTTAATGAAGAACTATGTGCATGCTCTATTCGTTTAATGTAGGCATAACCCAGAGTAACGTTTGCACTAACAAAAGGAGATTTCTTCAAGACCTGTTGATATTTTAAAATTTAACACTAGATCAACTCAATAGATATTGAGTCAGAGTTCTTCCCCAGTTTTGAGCTTATGATAGTTCTTCATTAAAATAATAATAATGAAGACTCAAAGGTTTTTACTAGAAAGACATGACAAGATACCAGTCTTAGCACTTTTTGTATTATGAAACTGTATTTGACTGTAGTGGTAAACCGTATAAAAATAAAAAGACCTTTGTCTATCTCTCAGATCAATGGGGACAATACGCATGTTAAAACAATGAGTAGTATATTCCCTGCCGGTGATTGTTCTGCCAACAGTAATTGATTTGATGTTATTAGTGATTAGTAGTGACTGGGCCGCTACACTCAGTTTATAAAAATTGTGTCCTGCCCATGTAAAATTATTATGCCCAATAGTAGTTTGGGGATCATAATGTTCATGGCTGTATGGATTTAGTCAGATTGTATTATATCCTCATTGGTAAGAGAGATGCCTCGGTGGACAGAATAATAAATCATGTCTTTTGCCTGCTTTGTAGTGAACTGATCCAATTTATTACAAGTGGCCCTGTTATTGCCATGGAGATTTTAGGAGATGAGGCTATATGTGAGTGGAAAAGATTGCTTGGACCTGCAAACTCTGGAATGGCACGTTCAGAGGCTCCTGGAAGCATCAGAGCCCTGTTTGGAACAGATGGCATAAGAAATGCAGCCCATGGTCCTGATTCTTTTGCTTCTGCTGCCAGAGTAAGCTGTTTTACAACTACTTAAATTCAGTTTTGGTTTTCACTTACACACTCGCTGCCATGGAGTTGATTCTGACTTCTAGTTACCCTGTGGGACAGTAGAAATGCCCCTGTGGATTTCCAAGACTATTACTCAGGACCAGTGCAGAACACCTCCTCTTTCTCCTGTGCAGCAGCTGGTGGGGTCCTATTGCTGACCTTGTGATTAGCAACCCAATGTCTAACCACTACACTACCAGGACCATCTGTGTTTTGGTTTTGTTAAATGCTGCTTTATGTCAAAGTAAAGCTTTTTTCCTACTGGTGACTTGGGTTGGATTTATACATGTGATCTATTATTTAAAAAACTTCTGGAAAAAAAACAAACAAAACTTCTGACCCTTTGTCTAGGATAAAATAATGTTTCTGTGATATGTTGCCTTATGGTGAACATACACTTTATTCAATTAAAGCATTTATCAACACATTTCTTGTTCTAAAAACTTAAATTACTGACACTTATAATTGTTTGAATTATTTAATTAATATAAGAATGCCAGTTTATGGATACTAGTGTCTATGCAAGTTGACATGGAGTTGACAGGTAAGCTCATGTGTGTCTGTGTAGGACTGTGCACCATAGAGTTTCAATATTGATTCTCCCAGAATTAGATCACTATGCTTTTCTTCCTTTCTACCCATGGATGGAGTCAAACTTCCAACCTTTGGCTTACCTGCTGAGTACATTTAAATATCATAAAATAAGGCATAGTTTTATACATTTTTTTACTCAGACAGGACACTCTATTTTTAAGTGTAAGCATCCTTTTATTTTCTTCCAAAGCTTGTAATTAAGGAAAAAAAATCCCTGCACTTGGTCTTTATTTCAGTTACAAAGAAGTAAGGTCTCATTCTGGGTTTATATGGATAATTGAATTAATGGAATATAAGTTTCTTCTTACCGTCATAAACATTTTCTCAGTTAATTAAGATTGCTTTTAGTCTGGTAATATTTACAATAAATATTTGACAGTTTCATAATACGGATTTTTTTCTTTATCTTATATCTTCATTAGGAAGCCCCTTCAACTCAACTTTCAAAATAGACCCTAAACTTGGCCACTGTTCTCTCTGTACACCGTTATAGATTACCTGGACTACTGTTGTCACTTCCTAATTATTCTTTCCTCTTCCTAGCTATTCCTCCCTCTACTGCTGTTATACTCCTTGTGAAAATTTTACCCTGCCCAGGTAAAATTTTCACTCTACTCTGAGTAGAGTGAATTTTAGGGTCTGGAGACCTCCAATTCAGGCATGGAGAACTTGGAGCTTTCCTGTGCTCCTGGTGGGATTGTGCAATGGTACAACTACTATGGAAAACAATATACTACTTCAAAGTTGGAAAGAGAGATCCAGCAATCCTAATACCAGTTATATATCTTAGAAAGATAGGAGTCATGATGGTATAAATAGAGAGATGGAAATGATCTTGAAGAGGACATGGTATTTATGCGTAACAGCAGTTAACAGCAAGGAAGGCAGTAGAAGATGCATGTTATTATGTACGTGTAAAATATGATAGGTCAATGAGTGGTACTGTAATATCAAGGAATTTGTTAAATGAAAATATTCTAAGGGTAAGAAATTTTCTATGGAGTCAGATGAGTTGGATATGCCAAGAAAAAAGATTATTGCTTATTGACCAGAAGATAGAGATAGTTGATGAACTTGATAAGATCAGTGTTAATGGAAAAGTAGTAGCAAAGGCTTGTTTGGAATGGATTTAAAAGAAAATTGGATGATAGAAAGTGGACACATTGACTATGTGCAATTCTTTTGGGTATTCACCAAAATGTAGACTACATGCACTTTTTTCCTCCGCAGTGGGGACAGCCATCATACCTTTTGTGATAGGTAGGTTTATTGTGCCAACCTGACAACGAACACATGTGGGATTAATAAGGTCACAGTTTAATTGAAGGGCAAAGAGATAAATGGCTCTGTGAGCCTCATCTTTCTGTCTCTTGCTCTCTGATACTCAGACCAGTGTGTTCTCTGCCTCAACTTGCGAGCTACACTGCCTGTCGGGCACCGAACCCGTAGGTCGTGTCACTATAATTTGAGGTTCCTTCGAGACCTGCTTCACCACACTGCTGGTGTAAACATCACTTGAGCTGGGGACTATTGGTGACCTGTCCTGCAGTTTGCTGCCTGTGGCCGGACTCCCTGTATTGCTCTACAGACTACGCAGCTGTCTGCTTCCTTGACTTGCACCCAGCAGCCCTCGTTAGTTGAAGGACTGCCAGTGTATTAACTGTCTCACGGAAGTGAGTTGAACTGAGCCCTCTGTACAGCTCTGTGGACTAATTGGCTATTTATTTCTTTGTGTTGTATGTATGTATGTATGTATTTATCTATAAAGTCATAAGTGTCCTGGTTTTGTTTCTGTAGAGAACCCTAACGCACCTTTGTTTTATCCTTATATTTTCCTGAAACTGTTGGGACAAATAACCAATGCCAAAGAGGAAAAAGTTTTTTAAAATCTTAAATTGTATATCTTTGTTTCAGTTGACAGGTTTAAACACTTTGTTCCTTTTGAAATGCCCACCTTATCTTAATTTTATCTCACTTTCCTGATTTATCTTATATGTGGCAGATTATGATCTGTTAGTTGGCTCTGACTTATGGTAATATGCCTATTCTTTAAATGCTAGTGTTCAGATTTCTTTTCTTGGTTCACTGCTTTTCTTATTCAATTCTCCTGTATCTCCTGGTTTGGAAAATAAGACATTAAACCTACATTATAGGAGTAGATGTAATCATTTAAGTGTTGAACATAGTGCCTAGAATATAGTATTTAATGAATGTTACCTATTATTAAGATTCTGTTTTCATAGTGCTCTCAAAATTCATTTCTTTAAATTATACTGTGTATGTCAATGTACAAAAATCAGTCCCATTCCTATAATCAGAAAATATTATTTTAAACAGAATTTCTACTCACATAGTAAAGAATTATATGATACCAGTGATAAATCTTACAATATATGTGTGGGAGACTTTCATAGAGAAAAAGATACATCTTCATTGTAGGTTCTAACAAAAAACTTAAGTAAGTATGTGTATGTATGTACATATACTATGTTCAATATCATTAAGATTTTTATTCTGTTCAAATAAATTTATAAATGTGATTCTAGTCAAAAATCTTAGTAGAAATTTTCATGAAGTTTAACAAAGTTTTCATGTGGAATAACAAAAACAGTTTTAAAGAGAAAGGTGTGATGGTAACAAGGTACAGACTTACTTATGCAGTAAAACTTTTAATAGACGTTAGAAGGAAACACTGCGTGGTACTGACATGGGTGTAGACTGTAGCACTCTTATTGACCAAGGGAGTCAGAAATAACGCACACATAATGGGAATTTTATGTCATTATAAATCAGTAAGAAAGGGAGATTGATTAGGTTAAAATTATGTTAGACACAGGGAATCCAGGACAGATGATCCCTTCAGGATCAGTGGTGAGAATGGCGATACCAGGAGGGTGGAAGGAAGGTGAGGTAGAAAGGGGGAACCGATTACAAGAATCTACATATAACCTCCTCCCTGGGGGATGGACAACAGAAAAGTGGGTGAGGGAAGACGTCGGACATTGTAAGATATGACAAAATAATAATTTATTAATTCTTAAGGGTTCATGAGGGAGGAGTGTGTGGGGAAAGGGGGAAAAATGAGGAGCTGATACCAGACTCAAGTGGAAAGCAAATGTTTTGAGAATGATGATGGCAACAAATGTACAAATGGATGTATATATGGATTGTGATAAGAATTGTAAGAGCCCACAGTAAAATGATTTTTTAAAAACAGAGTTATAACCCCCAAAATAAAAAAAAAATAAAAATTTAAAAATTATGTTAGATAATTTTGTATGAAAAAATTAGTTAACGTATTGCATCTCTACTTTCAATTCACCTTGGAGTTTACACTCATGCCAAATGATGCTCTCAAAACTGAACTGAGCATAATTTTAATTCGCCAAAGTTTCCTTTTGTATTTGGTTTATTATTAGCAAAGAAATTTGGAGTTAGTATTTTTTTATCTTTCTCTTTTATGTTCGATTAATATGTTTTTAAAAATAATTTTATTGGGGGCTCATACAACTCTATCACAATCATACATACAGCCATTGTGTCAAGCACATTTGTACATTTGTTGCCATCATCATTCTCAAAACATTTGCTTTCTACTTGAGTTCTTGGTATCAGCT